AGAAAGAGAAAGTATAAGATAGGATAATCGTGAATGAGTCATGAATGGATTATGACGAAGATGTGAAATTATGTTTGTAAGACCTTGTGCTTAAGACTTTGTGTCTGTATGAGATATGAGATGCTTTTATGATATGTGCATGATATGAAACGTTGATGCTTGAGAATATTGTGTGCAACATTTGAGACATTGGTGAATAATGATATGTAAGATGATGATATGGTATGTGAATGACATGAATATGTGATGAGTCCATGAGGTGAAATGATGTCTAGAGTCTTTAAGAACATCTCCTTTGAAAATATTTTGTCCACATATATTTCTAGTCTTCCTCTCTCATCAAGAATGCAGCCATGACATGATTATAAGGGATTCTAGCCATTTGCCACTTATTGCATGTACATGTCCCCTTTATAAGGTTGACAATCTTATTCCCTTCAATATAATGACTAACTTCAAATATCTTATGCCCTCCAACATATACAATATAGTTCAGTGCATTTTTCCATAGATATTTCTAGCTTTTATTGTATTTTTTGGCATATTAAGTGCCTATGGACCAATATTCCCTCTTTTTTCACATGAAATCTCTTCATTAGATGTCTCCTAATCATCTTGAACATTAATGATAAGTTTGTCTCTTAAGTCTTGTATATACACATCAAATGTTTGTTCTCTATTATTCAGCAACATGTTACACTTTAATTGAGGGTTATGAGCATACCTACATAATAAAAAATCAATATTCATTACAATATGTGTAAGATATGGTGATGAAGAAAATATTATATTCAAGTTATACCTACACCATAGTTTTGGCTCAAACTTTTATAACAACTCAAATGCCCTTACTGTGACACCCTCTACCCCAACATATATATATATATATATATATAATATTAAAAAAAATGTATCTTATTGGATAAAAAAACAAATATTTAAAATTGAAACGACAATTCCAATAATCATGTGAGTAGAGAATTCACATTCATGTACTTAATCCAAACAGAAAATAAAATTACAAAGAATAAAAATTGAATTTTTCCAAAATATATACTTTAATGAAAAAATAATCCGTGGGAAATTTGACTTTTTCTTGTAGTGGTTGTTTTATGTGAAGGTTGTTAGTGTAGGATAAGTGATTTTGATAAGTTATATGTTGATACATTTTGCATGATGGGTGAATTTGGTGAACATGAATAGAATACTTGTGTCTATTGCATGTTGCATGATGTAGGATAATGATAATAAGCATTGAAATGTTATTTTTGTGTAGTTGAAATAGTGATGAGCTTTGATATGTTATGTATGATTGAGATGCTATTGTTGAATGAATTGTGGAGCATTGATATGTTATTATTGTATAAATTGTTAAGCATTAGTATGTTATTCTTGGTTGAGGTGTTAAGCATTGGTATGCTATACATGATTGATGTTATTGATCTTTATATGCATTAACTGGATGAGATGTATGTAGTAGATGCATGGTGAGGTGTAGATGTTCAGAATGTGGTGTGGCATTAAAGCATGATGGCTAACTTAGGACTTGAGGAAAAGAAATTATTTTGAAAACTGAAGATCCTATATAAGGTATCTTGGAGTGGTGCTCGGGTAGGCCAATGTTTGGAAAACCTTCCTTAAGTAGGTATGTCTCTTGGAGTAGGTTTTGAGATGTGTTGAATCTCCTCCAAGTCCTTAGTTAGTGGTTGAATAAGATAGGAGGTTGAGGGCTATAACCCTTAACCAAGTACTTAGAATGATTGTGTGGTTCTTTGAGGATAATCAATGAGCGAATTTCATATGCAACTTGATAATACATGCCAAGGTCGTGTTAAGCCTATACCCAACTGTACTACTCCTGACAATGGAACTGAACTTTCTTAGTATAAGTGATGAGACCAGAGAAACCATAGGAGGGATTGGTATCCCATTTTTTTATGATCGAATCGACGCTTCGAGTGTGAAAACAATTAGGTTGGTTCGGTAGGGTGGAAATCACTTAGACTGCTCATTTTGTCAAGAGATATTTGCAGGTGAATACGTGATGACACATTGGTTGATTTGTTTGTATATGAAAAATGTTGAGGTGTGTTCATATGCATTGTTGATGTTTTGTGGTACATGATTTGATGAGGTACATGTTTGCTTCAAGAGTGTTAGCTTTCATGTATGATATATGGTGTAATATTGTATATTATAGACTTGTTTTCTATATGTATATGTTTTCGAACTCTAGCTTACCCTTTCTATTTCCATGGTAGTTTGGACTGTGATGATCATACGTTGTATGAGAGCAAATCAGGACTAGGCTTGAGGAGCTGTTGTAGGCAGACATTGTGATCCCTTTAGATGGCGGTATTATTGATGTACCTTGTATAGGTGTCCTTGACCAACACTAGGGCGCAGAATTATTTAGGATTGTTGTATACATGTATATATTCAGTTTATATCAGTTTGGTTGTTTTACTTATATAGTCATGTTATATATATGTATTTTATGTTTCTTCCCTTAATCCTATATGTTCTAGTAATTTAGTTTCTAATGGTAGTAGTGATTCTATATAGTATGACGACCATGACGAGTCATTACAAGTTATTATTTCAAAAGGATTAAAATGAACATTTTAAAAGATAAAACATTTTAAAAATAAGATAAATGATCAAAAGTATAATTTAATTAAAAATTTATCTAAGACATTTTAATATGCTTAAATTTGAATTAATGCTTGTTTTGAAAATATATACATTCTAAGAAACTTCTTCGAATACAAAAATAAATAAATGCAAAAATATATTAAATTGATTCAACATAATCTATCAATTATATAAGAGTTGACTATATTTTGCTTCTTTAGTAGAATTTGTACGCACTTTTAATTTTAAGTTTATATAAACATTGAAAATAAGTACAAATTAAACATAACTTCTCCGCTGTTGCCATCAGCTATTCAAGTATTCAGTACTATCTATAGGATCAGGTAGCAACAATTTGTCTGGGCTAAAAGAAGTATTCTAAAAGGTCAGTTGTTATTTGAAAAGTAAAGGTTCAGTTACAATCACAAACTAAACCAAAACCAAAATTTCAAACACAAGGTTCTGCATTTAGTAATAGATGCTGCTTACATTGGAAACAGTAAACATCCATAACATTGATTATTGAATTGAAAGAAATATTGATCTAATCACTTGAAAATCACCTGCTATGGTCAAATGGGATAGAGCAATTTTTGACAACTAAGTTTGTAACGAATTCGTTATTGCATGTAATATAATATTGGATTAAATATGTTTTTAGTCCCTCAAATTTATGGTAATTCTGTTTTTGGTCTCTCAAATTTAAAATTGTTGTTTTTAGTCCTTGTAATTTCAAAAAATCTTATTTTAGTCCTTATATTCAAATTTTGTTAAGAAATTTATCAAACATTATTGCATAAAATTTATTTATTAGTATCCTTATCAGTGAAAATATCACATTAAATCTGGTTAATGTTGCATAACTGTATTAATTAGTCATTTTTAAATATGTTATTGGTGACCTAAGGGACTAAAATAAGATTTTTAAAAATTATAGGGACTAAAAACAACAGTTTTAAATTTGAGGGACCAAAAACAAATTTGTCTTAAATTTGAGGGACTAAAAACATATTTAAGCCTATAATATTCTTTTCAGTTTTTTTTTTTTTAAAGATTCAAACCTAAAATATTCTTCCGTCATTTTTATAAGAACTAATCTTAAGTGTCTTTAAATAATTAAAAAAAAATCTAAATGTTTTTTGTATTAATCATTTGTCTACAAAAATGCCTTTGACTAAAATTCAGTTTTTTAATTCAATAAATAATCAGTAAAATAAGAGCTTCATTAAACTGTTAGGATCACCTTACTGGTGAGAAATTGAGATAATATGTTTAGAATTCTAACTTCAAATAAGAGTAAAAAATTGAGATAGGTAAATCTTAACCATTTAATTAAATATGCCTCGTGAAATAATGTTTTAATTTTACAATCCCTTTAATTATGTGGTTAAGAATTCACTCCTCTTCAGAGTTTTATCTTCCATTTGTTATGCTTCTTATATTCACATACTAAATTGCGTATTTGACCTTACCATTTTCCCCAATCACTCCAAAATATTCAAAATTCTTTAATAAATTACTTATTGAATGACCCCACGCGTTAATCTTATCTTATTTAGCATTATGCAAGTAAGCATCAATTTTGAATTTTGGGGTACAATAATCACAGAACCAAAGTACTTATTAAGACTACTCCCTTATATATATATATATATATATATAAGACGTTATAATTACACCGGTAAAATTTTTATTAAGTATTACATCTTTCAATAATTTTATATTAATTATAAATTTTATAAATCTAACCGTTAGATTAAAAGTTTATTTAAAATTGAACAATAATTTGAAAGTAATCAAAGTGTTTATATTTTAGTATATTTTAAAATGAATATATTACGTCAATTTTATTTTATAAAAATAAAATATCAAATTATCTTGAATTAATATAAAATTTTGTATATATTATCTAAAAGATATGAACTTTTAATCTAACGGTTAGATTTACAAAACTCGCATTTAATATAAAATTATTGAGCGGTGTAATACTTGATAAAAGTTACACCAATGTGTAAAAATTGTTGCATACTCAATACTCTGGTCAAACGAGTGATAGTGTATTTGATGTATTTACACTGTCACTTATTTCATATTAAAAGAAACGTAAGTAGTAACTAATTCAGGTACCATTAGAATTCAGGTACCATTTAACTATGAATTCGCGGATTAAAAAAATCAATTTTTGAGAATTGTCAAAGCCAAAATATTGATAATAAATAATACTCGTAATTTTGATAGGTCCATCTCAACAAAGTCAAAAGAATTAGTAAAATTCCCGGCCCATCTCTCCTCTGGTCATATCCACAAAAATGAAACCATCTAATTGCAATTAGTTTTGTTATGTGCTATATACAAACAATTGCAAGTCATAGCATTAAATCAAAGAATTTATATTCCACTAATCAGTCATGACCATATTTAAGAAAAGAAAAACACAACAATGTCACTGAACAGTAAAATAAAAATACGTGAGTTTCATTCCTGATATATTGGCAAGATACAAGACCTAGATCATGAAACACGCAACTATAAAAATACATAAACTAATTGCAATCCAAGTGCCAGGGGGATGCAGCATTGCAGCAGATAGCCCAGAACTGCTTTGTTATATCCACAACGTTTTTTTTTTAAACAGGCCCATTGGGATGTCAGTCTACTTAAGCAGATGAAAATGGTTGACCAAAAACACAATGGATGAAAATGTGAATATAAGGTTGAAGTTCATCCACCCAGCTTGCATTTTGGATTCTAGCATCTACATCCCTAAGTAAATCATCATTCACCAATGAAGAACACGGGTCACTCAGGGTGCCTCCCGGTAGTAGGGCATCAACAGAGTAAATAGATGGTGAAAATATGCCAAACAAGAATAAAATCATACAAGTATCGTGTTATATAAGGTGAATGGAGTAAATATCCCAACAAAAGAATAGCAATCCACCACATCAATAATGCCGTTTCTTCAATCAAGTTTTGTAGGTTGCCCAGAAAATTTTCAATGGTCTATCAAGGCCGTTTCAGTCTCTGAGAGGGGGGCTGCAACAACAAAATTCCCAACTCATTACTCATGAATTAACCAACATGTGTTCAGAAACTTTAGGCATAAATGTATGAAGTATGAAGGAGGCACCACTACAAGTTTGTTCACCCGAACCACTCCCCACCCCGCAGAAAAAGAAAATTCTGTATATATGTTCTTATAAAATACTTCCCTCAGTCCTAATTATAAACAATATAAGACAAATCATCAAGACCAAAAAAATAATTTAGTTGGTTATTTTAATTAATTGTATCATAAATTCGAATTTTAATCCAAAAATATCCTTTGTTTAAGATTATTATATTTAATGTTAGTGATAAATGAATACATATGAAATAGAATTAACAATAAATTAAGGGTATAAAAAAAGTTATCTCTAAATAACTTTAAAAACTAATGATTGTTGCTTATAATTAAGATGGAAGGAAATTGCTTATAAAACAAAACATTAAAAATGCATTTCAAATCCCCCCACCACCCAAGTTTTTTCTCTGCCCAACTTAGCAAAGCATTTAAAAAATATCAGGATTAGGAGATAAGAACCAAAACAGGTTGTCGATAATTCAACATACCCAGCAAGTCTTCAAATTGATCTGTCAAAAGTGATGAGTCCATTAGAAGAGGCGGTGAGAAGACTTGATCCTGTGCATCCTCAAAGTCAAAAATTGACCGCTGAGCATCAGATGTAGCATTTGAACCAGTATATGAGAGAAACCCATTTACATTGTCATAATCAGAAAGCCTTTCCAAATCATTCAACATATCTGGAAATTCTTCAAACTTGCTCTCCCCATGCCCAACAGATGCATGACTCTCAAGCAAGGATTCATCTATTTGGGATACAAATAATCTTTTGCTCCTCAATGAAACAGGTCTTTTTTCTGCATCTAAATGAGAAAAGCCGGTTTCTGAAAGAGGGACAAAGAAGTGCTCAGAACTTCCATCAGATTGACTATCCCGTGATGACTCTGAATTACATGACCGCAATGCCAGCGCTGCTTCTCTTACTGACCTCTTCAAATTCTGGACAAAGGAACTGTCACTATCTACAAAATAAAATCAATATCAGCCACCTTGTGTTCTAACACATTGATGAAATCCCCTCAAAAAAATCACAGGCTTCAATAAAAGCTTAAGCTATTAGGTAATCCCAGCCCAAGAATGATTTTGTATCTCTTAACATAACAGCTCAAGCAAGAGCCCCCCTAATCTTAAGCATGGACAGTGCAGAAGCTCACTTTCCTTTGTGCAGAAATTTAGTTGAATTATGAAGAGTGGAGATAACGGACGCAAGGATTAAACACCTAACCCCTTGGCCATAGAGGCTTTGGATACCATGACAAGAACCGAGTCTCCTAAAAGCGTAAGCTATTCTAGGGAGGCTCAAGGACGATTCATGGCTCTAGCAAAACATTTAGACAAAAGGCTCAAGACAAAACATACCTTCTGCTGAACTTGTTACTTCATTATTTGAAGGAGGATCCAACGATTTCCTATCAGAAACGTTCTCTGTTTGGCTGGTTTGAGCAGCATTACTGTTCCGCCTTTGGACATTTCCAGATTTTCCAGAAGATGGGGTCAAGCTGAATAATTGAGGAAGCTTTAAAGTGGGAGGACTAACAGAAACCTTGTCAAGCTGAATATTAGATATTCTTGAAGAAAGCTCACTAACATCATCAGTGCTATTGTCCTGAGCAATAAAAAGTGATACGGAGAAATAGAGGTAAATCAGATATGGTATCGTGAAGGCATCAAAGCAGCAATGACATTACTTTACTAAAATAGTAGAATACCATCCTCCCACTACTCTGTGTCTGGATAGGTGACGTTGACTGGCCATTATGTCTGTTCATTGGAGGTAGATTGGAGGCTATACAGTTAACCTTTTCTGTACACTCTGATATGGACTTTTGTATGGTTGGAGCAACGTCCTTGAGTTGGTTAATAAGCACCTGCAAATGAAAAATACAACAATGTGAAATTCCTAGGGAGGAATCTTTCTAGTATAGAAATTCCTAGGGAAAAATACAGGTCAACTCCATATAAGATACTTGACCCATACTGCAAAAGGTGTGGAGATAGAGCAAAGATAGACTCAACATATGATAGTGTTATTTAAGTGTAACACCAGAAGCTAACTGATAAAGGGAATGTAACTCCTCCATAGCCATCGCTATTTGCTAAATAGTGAAGGACAAAGCTAACTGGTATTTTACTCATCTACTTCCATCAATACATAAGCCGCAGACATATATCAATAATTATATATAAGAAGCTGTAAGCAAACAGAAAATATCGTGTCTATTTGCATCTTAAAAGAAACAGTCTACTAACACAATGGAAAAAATAATACAAAAATCTAATTCCTCATACATAAAGGGGTTGCTAAAAACATCTCAAAACAAAACTTTTTGTTGACACTTATAAACAACGCCTCTAGCAAAGTAAACTTTCCAGTATATCAATGTAACTTTCGGCACAATAAAAGTTCCAAAAAGGTCAATTAACCAAGTAGTGTCAACATATTAAGGACATTATTTCTCCTTCAGCATAAAAGCATCAACTTGATCTATAAGCTTTATCATAAGCAAATGACAATTAAAAAGAAGCTACCTTTGGAAGCACTTCAACCTTGGTAGGATCAAGCAGATTTTAAAACATGGTTTAATGAATTACCTGGAAGCTAGCCAAATGTTGCTGATGCTCTGCAAGAGTTGCTGCTAAAGACTCAGCATGGCCACTTGAACCCCCTTCCTGTGCACTGCGCAAAATATCTGGACCCTCTCCATCATTTGCTTTTGCCTACAGATCATACCATAGTTAGATGTTTCTATAAGTAATAAATAAGAGTGAATAACAAAACATAACATGAATTAACTTACTACTAGGCATTGTGATTCTCAACTGAATATAAAGAAAATAAGCATTAGAAAGAAAGAGAAATAAGACATGTTACAACAAATAAATTTCGTCACCAAGTATTTGATGCAACAAAGTTTGATTGATTATCTTATTTTCAAAACTCCGGTCTATAACCAATAAGCACAAGTATATATTATTAGAAATACCTTAAAAAAAAGGTTTGGGAGAGCATACCAGATGAAGTGATTGTTTGTGGATACGTTGCAAGGCATGGGTCCATCGTCGTATAACCTCCGCTACATCAACAGTTTGGTGGACTCTTCCAGTTCTGTCATCCACTCTTGTCAATATCTCATTGCTAAAATGTGATCCATCATTCTCTTCTTTGTTATCCATTTGCACTGCAGGTAAATCACTAGGTTGACCAGATAATACATCTGAATAAGGAGCTTGAGAACTCTGGTCCATTGCTGCAAGCAAAGATGATCCAGAGATTCGATACCTGAAATTTTGTATCAAAAAATTAGCTGGTAAATTTGGCCTACATGTATTGGAAAGGCAAAGCAAGCTACATCACTACATTACCTATGTTCTCGATGAGCTATCAAGTCCTCAATAGGACCAGATGCAAGAACTTCATGTTGACCTGTATCAAAAACTCAATATCATTACTAGCTAGTTTTTATTTTTTTATTTTTTTTATTTTTATAAGACAGTTAAAAAATGGCATGAGCATGTTAGACTACAATGAGAAGAGCAAATCTTATTATTAGTCAATTTATAAATACAAGAAAACAATAATAAAGACATATCCAAATAATATCAGCATAAAATTAATAAACTAGCCGCACTTATTGAAATCAAACTTAGTGTGCATTTGTTTTAACGTTAACACATGTTCAACTCAATTCATGAGTCTTGAAGCTTTGAATCCAACGGATGTTTGAAGCTTCTCAACATTAAAACAAACACACTCTGAGTAGAATTACATGATCCATAAGACATAATTAATAACTAGCCACACTAAATAAATCAAACTTAGTAGAATTACATGATACATTAGACATGCAAAGATTAAATGAAATATTAATCTTTGCACTTACTTTTTCGAGCTAATAAAGAGTCCCATAGCCTAGTAGCCTTTGAAACTAAATGAGAATTCTGACTTGAACTGGATACCAGATCATCCCAGAGCTCTCCTTCCAACTTCACTTTATTCCTCAAGTCATGCAGCTTTTCCAATTCTTGTTGCAAATAAGCCTTCTTTCAAGGTTTTACACAATATAATTGCACACAAGAGACAAATGCATAAGGAATGTTCTTAATGGGGAGGGGGAATATGTACTATATACAATATAACATATATAAGCTGAATTTGGTACATAGCCTTCCGTAATTGATATACCTCTTCAGCACATAAGCCACGAAATTCAGCAGTCATTTCATGAGCCAAATTCGACCACATAGCCTGCCGTTGTACAGCCATTTGTGCATCTTTAAGAAACTTCCTTCTTTCAAGAGCTATTCTTGCCTGTTTAAGACCAAAGACTCAATTGAGTTACTTAAAGACCAGGAGACATTATCAACACAAGAACATGAAAGAAAAAAATAAATAAAGCAAAAAATAAAAATTATTTTATTACCCATTTCTAACTGTATGAGCAGTATGAGAATGTAGTACAGAATTCAAAGAAAACACAAAAACATAGTTCGGACATTTTGCAGAACTTCATATTTTAAAAACAATTGCTCTAAAAGGACAACTGATTTTTTTGTAAATACTGAGAATGACAATCTTTTATTTTACAGCAAACACACCAAACTAGTCATATAATGGTATCAATTACAAGGACACGTGCATAGAATGATAGTCAATTCATCCTTCAGTAAAATTTTTATGGAACATCACCAATACCTTTGTAACCGGAAGTAGAGTAGCTGCATGTGAGAATGCTACATCAGTCAATGGTGCAGGCAACGGGTTCGAAGATATGTCAGTAGTAAATGTCCTTCGATGAACCTCTTGCAAAGCATGCAATGAAAGTTGCCATAGAAGCTCAACAAACCTACATCAACATGTACACTCAAATAACTTCAGAACTATCTTTAACAAAAAACAAACAATAAGCTTCCATTACCATCTTATCATACAAGACTACTATAACAATATAACAAGAAAAGCCTTTTCACACTAGGTCAATGTGAAACTAATTTGACCCAACAGTCACAAACCAAGTCTACAGAAAGGCCATTTAGATCCAACTCCTTTTTATTGGTTTCACTTCTTTTCTTGATCTCTACCCATTATAATATTGAGCCATCGTCCATCAAATCAGCTTATCTTACTTCAGCTACTAATAGTCTTCTTCTAACATGACCAAATGATTTCAGGTGAGATTTCTACCATCTTTTCCACAATATGTGCTGCTACCCTTACCTCCTCTCAAATTTATTCACTCCTAATCTTTATCTTGAATGCTCATTGTTCACTCTCATGCACTGCAACATCCCCCTCTCTACAACACGTATCTTACTAGCTCATGCTCTTTTTAGCTCTTTAACCACCAGCACTCGGTATAACAAAGCAATGTAGACAAAGGACTTAAAGATATTATTTAGAGGGACAAGTCTCAGTTACAGAATATCACCAACTACTTTCTTCAATGCAGAAGTTCTTTGAAATAATCTTAAATTTCCAGTAGATTTCCAATTGTCCATTTCGTCAACATCCATTCATTAACTATAAAATCACTTCCCCAGCTCCACCCATGCCACAGAAATACACCAATTTACAAAACAATTTACCAAAAAAGGCAAACCCGTAAATTAAACTCAGTCTACCCCAACTCCCAGGGATCAAGACAGCCAACTACACACAAACACAAATCAACAGCAAGCAATCACACAAACCTAGGTCCACAGCACGTAGCAAGTGAAGAAACCCTGGAATTACTCCTCGGAAGCGCACCCTGCGACTCAAGCTCGCTGATAATCCCTTGCACAACCTACAAAATCCGCATTTCCACCGCAATCCAAACACATTCACTCAAACCAACGCCAATTAATAAAACAAATAAAATTGCAAAAAAAAAAAAAAGAAATGGATACCTTGCGAAAATCACGCGACTGCGCGGAATCGAAAATCGGCCAGACCTTGTCGAAATCCTGAGAGATCGAAAAAGAGGGTTAGAGATAAAGATCGTGGAAGAAAGGAAAAGAGCGAAGAGCGAGAGTGGAATGGATACTTTTGCAGATTGAATTGGTCCTCTGAGAGAGGAGAGGATGAAGTAGAGAAGCTGTTCCCCTAATTTAGGGTTGGAGTGACGAAAATGTCCGACCCGAGGAGTGGCGTTGGATGCTCCGACTCCGATAATCGCCGGATCCAGACCCAACAGCAAGCAATTGGTGTACATTGCGCTTTCCAGTTCTAACTCTCTCTCCTTCTCTCTGTCCATCGTCATCACCTTCTCTCACCCCCCCTCTTTCTCTTCTTCGTCTTCGTCTTCGTCTTCGTCTTCTTCTCTCTGATCGTCTTCTATATTCGGGGCTGGAGGTCCCTGGCTTTAGGGGAAATTGCGGAACGACACCGTAATTTGAAAAGCAGGGGTGCGTTGTTTAATTTGGGAAAAGCAGAACGGCGTCGTTTGGTGCCGGCCCGATTCTATCTTGTCGCAACGGGAGGTGGAGTGTGCTGTCGTGTGCTGGGGACCCAACCGTCGATTAGATTAACATTCCGACTACTTCCTCCAATTTGAATTTGTGAAACCTATGACCATTTTTTCTTTTTTCTTTTTATTTTGGGGATGGGTTATTTATCATGGGTTTGTTTATTTATGTGCCTCCTCCTTGTGAAATTTTAACAACGTCATTCAAAATTCTTTTGAATTTGATTTCGGTTCGATTATGGCTTCACAATACATTAGGTATAATTACGTAATCTACTGATTTTTAAATATATAAAAGGAAAGGTCTACTTACTAAAAAAAATTAAGTTTATTTAATTATATTTTATTTAATAACTCGTATTTTATATTAAATTTTAAGTTTAAATTATTGAATAAAAAAATTTAATAGATATATCATATTTGCAAATTTTAAAAATATTTAATACTTCGTTTTATTGATTTAAATTGATAAATAATCATAAAAATAATTTTATATAAAGGGTTTCTTGATTTGTTGTACATATTGTTATTGTCAATTTTAACTTTTTTTAAAAATTATATAATAATAATTAACAAATATCATAAAAGTCCTTTGATATATATATTTTAAATATCTTAATAATGTAAGATTATTTTACATTGTGAGTCTATCATAATTAAACACACATATATAGAAGGAATTCGTTTATTTCATGAGTAAGTTTACCTAAACTTGATCCGTTTAATAACTCATATTTTACATCAAATTTCAATGATCCAACTTAGGGATGGTAATGGGGTCTCATGGGGGCAGGTAATAGTAAATCCGTCCCCGTCCCGCTAGATGAAAATTGGCTTCATACCCACCCCATATCCGTGCGGGTATCCATTAAGCGAGTATCCATAAATTTCTTGAATACTAACGTATATTCATGGATATTTATAATTTTTTAAGAAATTAAAAAAAATTATATTACAAATAATTTTAAGTTTATGTTTAATGTCATTAAAATATTAAAAATAAAAATTCAATATTAATTTTGAACTTCTATTTAACGTTAATTTTGTTGAAATAATAATAAAAATGTAAGATAATCAATAACTTAAAATGCATGAATCTCACACAAGTAAGTAAAAGTCTCATATCACACAGCTACAATAATTCAATCTCATAATTCCAAACGAAAGTAAACAATTTAAAATACATAAATCTTATTGGTCTAATCAAAGCTAGAAAATTAATTAAATTACATCCAACATAATTCTATGGAAAGAAAATAAGGTGAGAGAGTGTAGTTTTAGGGTTATGTGGTACAAGGATAATTAGGATGTTTAAGAAATATTATTAAAAGGGTATCCGCGAGTATGGATATCATCATACCCGCCCCCGCCAAATTTATAAACGGGTAAAAATTTATCCATCCAATTATCCGCGGGTATCCAATTAGTCTATCTATTTATTATCCGTAGCAGATTTTACCCACAAATACTCGCGGGTGGAAGTATTTTTGTCATCCCTAATCCAACCATTGAAATTAAAGTTCTCAATCCATAGATCAAATTTGCAAATTTTTTTAAAAAAAATTAAAAATTATTTGATATTTTGTTTCATTAATTCAAATCAATGTATAAAATGATTTTATGATTATTCGTCAATTTGAATTAATGAAATTAAGTATAAAATGATTTTCAATTTTTTAAAAAAATTGTAAACTTGATCTATGCATTAAGAACGTTAAATTCAACTATTAGATCATTAAAATTTGATGTAGAACATCAGTTATTAAATAGAGTAAGTTAGACTTACTCCTAGAATAAACAGATTCATCCTCATATATATATATATATATATATATTGCAGGTAAAAGAAGTTTTTAGCGAAGTTTATTATATTACTGTAAGATATATGTC